CATTTTTAGCTTAAAACACATTTCATTGTAGACACACACACATACACAAAAATCGGCTCTCAAGTCCTTATCACTTGAACAAGCTCATTGTTCTAAAATTGCAAGTAAGTTATAAGTCGTCATGCGGGTGCACAGACTTGGACCAATGGCTGTTGCCACATACTTCTTCTTCTCCTTGTTCCATTCATTTTGGAGAATGAAAAGAAAAGATCGACGCTTTTTTCTCGGTTGGTTTCGGTGCGTGGCATGAAGGTGTCCCACTTCCAAAATAATTAAGATGAATGGACCAATTTTCCATTGTTATGACAATGAAATATATAATTTTTATATATTTGATCAATTTTCATATATCCGTTCCAATTTAATTCACACGTTTTCAAAATATATGTGTCCGTTGATGAGGTTTTTGCTGCTGAGGCTGTTGATTTTTTCCTCTCTCTCTCTCTCTCTCTCCCTCTCTCTCTCTCTCTCTCTCTCTCTCTCTCTCTCTCTCTCTCTCTCCTTCATTCGTTTTGCACCATCTGTGGATTGTGTTCGATTTTTGTACCGCAAATACTGGTGAAGAGGGTACATGGTAAACAATTAAAAATATTCAATCAATATAATTGACAACGCAGATGGTCAAACGCATTTCATTTATTCGATTTATGGCATAATTAGGCGCATATATAATATATTGGACTGCTCGGGTCACACGTCAAAAAGTGCCAAAGAGCCAAGTAAACAACCGAAAAAATGGAACATCCGCGCAATTTATGTGTGGTGATGTTTTGCTGTTGTTCTATGTGTGGGTGTCGTTGGTTGGTGTCAAACATTAAAAAATGATTTATACCGCTTGACACCAAAACGATTACAATTCTTTGGATGTTTCGCAGTTCATATACGCTTTTGTGGCACCAATCGGTGTGCATGATAAGAGGTTCAAGTGATGCTTTGACTAAAGTTGAACTTTCAAGGAATAATTTGGAAACAATTAATGCAAAACCCGAAAAAAGCGCAGAAAAAGAAAGGGAGACACACAAAAACGTAGCCAAAATGCTGGACATTCAATGGCGATATCGACCGTGATTTCTTCATCGTATATATGATGAATATCGCGTTATGCAATGAGAAGTACACTGCTAAAAACGTGATATATCTTCAATGTGGCGTGTCATCCGTCCAGTTTTTTAATAGCTTTTTCATGTATCCTCCTCACTTTATTGCATTTGTGTGTATGCAACACTTTAGTGAGCGAATAAAAAACAAATGGCAGAAAAAAATGCGAACAGAAAAAAACACGTCACATCGAATGGGAAAAAAAGCAGCAACCGTGTTTTTTTCTGCTGTGTTCGTGCTCATATTCGATTCATTGATACCTTACATAGTGCGCGTATGGTGTGAAAAGGAGCGACAAAGAATGATGTGAAATGGATAAATTACGCGATAATTGATCACATAGCAACATAAGTCATTTAATACTTTGGCCCGTTGCCGCTTTTTCCTCTCTGTTTTCCGCTCATTCGCTCTCGCTTGCGTGGCATCGCAAAAGTTCACCGTTTATAAATGGTGGCAGTTCAGTGGGGGGAGAGAAAACGAACGAACGAGTAAACCAACGAACGAAACGAACAAGAGAAAAAAAAAATTATATTGATTTGTTCTGTCATGAAGCAGTTGGTGGTCTCGAGCACCTGCAATTTAAGCCGTATCGAATCCCAAATTTATGTGTCATACGGCTAAAAGGAAAACGATTGTTAGCCAAACTTTTCTACTTGGCGTTTCAGATTTTTCCGTGTGAGTGTCGCTCTCTCATTTGCACATGTATTGTTTCTTCTAGTGCTTCGAAAATTACCAACATTTTTCCCGAAGCGCGGTGAATTTTTATGATTGCTGCTGCTCTGTTTCATTTGTTTCATTATTGCGTGGGTATAGTTTATCTATTCATGTGTTCAATGCATAAACTTGATTCCAAACAGAACCAAACCAACACGGAAAAAAAGAATAACACCGAAGAAAATTGTGTCAGTCAGTTCGAATCGTTTGGTCGTGTGTATTTTTTTCTTGTTGTTCTCTGCTCAGAACGGAAATCATGAGCGTGTTTGTGTGAGACTTACTCTCTTTCTCGCTACGAGTGTGTATGTGTGTGTACATGAGGGAAAGTGTCTGTCGCTGCTGATTCTGTGAGAGTTAGCAATCAAATGACAAATAGTAATTAGATAAAATGTCGCACCTGTGCCATTAGACAAATTGGTTCCATGTGCACCCAATACAATTCGTTCGGCACGTAATTTTGTTACTGAATATCCCAGGTATGATTAAATCTGAATCACAAGCAGCCGCTTCAATTTTACTCTCGGTTTGATTGACAACAACAGCCAAGCTAGCGTTTTTCTCTCTGCAAATGTGGCGGTGCTGATGTGACAGATGCCGTTCGTATATAATTTCTTTTGCCAATATTTTTCATATACCATCGAATCGTCGAAAGCCACCGTGCCGGAGCGCTCGCGCGACTAAGAACAAGCGGCAAAGATTGAATCACAAATATACATAGACGAGAGAGAGAGAGAGAGAGAGAGAGAGAGAGAGAGAGAGAGAGAGAGATAGAGAGATCGAAAAAAGGCTAGTGAAAAAAACAGAGACGCAAACGAATGCTCAGCTGGGAAAAGTAGCAAGCACAATGCCAAGTGTGATATGAACGAGCGAGCCATGGAACTATGAAAAATGAATTCAAAAAATGGAAATGAAATAGAAATCGAGTATTTAAATTTCATGCACAGTAAACATTGGGGTGCGCTTGCTATGGTGCTGCTGTTGCTGCTGCTGCTTGATATGCAACAAATTTTTCAAGACATTTTGCCAAATGAAACCGTCAAATATTACATCGTTAATACATATTCCAAATTGGCTCACAAATATTACAGTATTATGCCACGTTATTATGCATCATCATCAATCCCTACCGAAGGAACAACAACAACAACAACAACAACAACAACAAAACAACACCCCATTGAATCATAATGCAATTCCAGAATCTTAACCGATTTTCGGTCCATATAATGAGCACAATATGTGTTTATATCTGCAGCAGTAACTCACTTCACCTTCTCTCTTTTACGTGTTCACAGATGAAAAAAAAAACACCTTACACGTACTCAACTTTCAGCAATAAATTACAACGATAACCAAATTACGAGTACGTATGATAATTTATTACGTGAAAAGTCATGTAGTTGGTGAATAGCACACGTACTCACGGCCAACTCATTTTATTTTGTTGTTAGAGTGAAATTAAGACCATCATGATTGTGTTCTCTTTTTCGATGATTATTTACCTAATAATTCACTCATGTTTGAGCGTTTAAGATTTTTAACGAGGAATATTCCATTTGCGACGGAAATGCTCAAGTGTTTGGTGTGTCTTGGAATTTATTTCCATTCTGTGGAGTTGTTTTTCCGCTTTTGTCATGAACACATGTAATGGTGTAAACAACAATATTTTTTCATTATTTATGTGATTCAAAGGTAATATTTGGGAATAACGTCGCGTCAAACAATTATCTGAAATTAGACCATGGATTTTTCGTTACGTTGAAATTTTAAAAATACAAATACTGAGAGATTTCAAAGGAATTTTTACTTGCAAACCAATTCATTACCTCATTAATTCCAACAAACATTTTATTCACACAGAACAGGAAAGTGTGTGGTGCACTTCATTTTATTCAAATATTTCAAGCAGGTGATATGCAGACGAACCTTTAATTCGGTGATGATATCACCTTTAGCCAAACCATTCGACGCAGTGCGAATATTTCTGGAAAAATCGCAAAGGATCTCTTTTAAATGCCTCAACTGCAGTTGTTTTTTTTTTGTAACGTCACAATTCTGCTTCGTAAGTGTGACCATGCCAAATTCGGTTTTAAAAATACACCAGAAAGCGTAATAAAGATATATGAAAACTTTTATTTGGTTTTATTGAACCGTATCGCTTTAAAAGTGTCATGTATCTCAGTCAATAACTGACAGTCATATGTTCTATAATTCACATAGTTGTAAAATAGCAGAAAAAAAGGCCGTGGGTTTTTCGTCTGCCGTCAGTTTTTTATAAATCTTTTTTTGGAAGTCAAGAGATAAGTGTTCAGACTAGCGGCCATTGCTATGCGAAATTTGTAAGTGGGAAAAAAATTGTGCTACTGTGAAGTTGTGATGCTTAGTTTACAACTTGATAAAATATTACCTTGAATAAGACTACCAAATAGAGGCATTCTCATTGCCTTTTCACATGCTAAAAGTAGAATAATGTTGAATGTTTGTTTTGAGCTATTTTAAGTCAAAGCTATAATTAACTAAGAAATATCTTTGAGCAAATTTTATCAACAAAAATGTTGGCACATGCGAAACAACTTGTGTTCATTTTAATAACGTAAGTAATTTTAAAAAAATTCGTCTTCACACACGCTTGTAAACAAGTTGTCATAAATGCCTTATGTGGGCATATTTACGGCCAGTTATTGAGAGACAGCGATTGAAAAACGTGATACTTTTCTTAAGTTCACACATTAAAAATTTAGACGTTGAAATTACCGAATCAAAGAAAGAAAATAACTTGTTCAAAATGGTAAGTGGTGATATTCGACGATGTTTATGTTGTGTTTACTATCGATGTCACGTGATGTTGACATTTTGGTCGAATCAAAGTATCCTCCTTAGATCCAGAGATGGCGCTGCAATGCTCAAATTCCGTTAATTTCGCTTCAAAGCCCGTCTCAACAGCGCTTTGAATTTAGAAAACCGATTTTTGAATTGTTATCCTATATTTATATTGAACGATCAAATTATAAATGATTGCAAGCAATTAAGAGATTTACGAGAAGAAGATATTCTATTTGAAATCAACTTCAATGTTTTTTTTTTTATAAAAAAAAGAGAAAATAATTTTTCGCATTCATCATTCGATTCGAAAATATAATTTTTAAATGGCATCAACCTCAGCCTTTCAACGAAATCAAACAAATGAATCAATATTGAGCTGGAATTTATTCAAATTTGTTTAATTTGAAAATAATTAAAAACCGAATGATATCTTAATTAAGTAAAAATAGTTTACAAATCATCAATTCGAATCGTGTATAATTGATTCAGAGAAAAATAAATATCTCCTTTCCCGAATTAATAATTTTTTTTTTGTAATCTCCATAATTGAAACAAATCCTTCTCAATAAATTTCCTCATTCAATTTAAGCACTGAACATTTTTAAAAGTAACATATAAATTGAACACAAATATTTCATTTGTTTCGATTGAATATGAAAAATAATGTGTATATGAAATAAAATAAAAATGGTGTCTATGCCGAACGAAAATAATTGGTATACGTTCAACATTGAATTTTCCTTCATTTTCACTTACACTGTAAATATGTTGGTGTGGCTTATTTATGGAATAAATAGAAGGTAGCGCATGAGTTGGTAAGCATTTTTAGTAACTTTTTACTTTTACGTTTGATCAAGATCTAGTCTTGTTCTTTTTGGAATTATTTTTGTATCGAATTCATCACGTTTTCTTTCTAATTTTGGACCAAATACGTCATTCTGTTCATCGGAAAGTACAAGCTAAAAACAATTTGTGTGTTACCTAATTTTATGCTGCCAATAAACAGCTTCGCAAATATGAAACCATGTTCGAATATGTTTTTTTTCCTTTCTTTCTTTTTACGACTTAAAATTAGTGAAACATTATAAGCTCAGAGACTCACAGAACATGTTCGCATTGTTAATAAATAATTGATCTATTTCGAAATAGGATAAATTTTGCTAAGTCATTATTTACATTTCGTTTTTTTTTTGGTGTTGCGACGAAAGAAAAAAATATCCAATTTAAAATTAAGTAATTATGGTGAATTTAAGTAAACCGTAATTACGATACTAATGGTATTGGTCTTTTCGTACGACAAACAAAAAATTCATCGATTTTTGACCTTAATTTTGCAAAATGTGTGCACTGCACATTGTTTAGCATTTGTGCAATTGAGCAAACCCTAATTATTTTTTTTTTGGTTCAAACACATTTCTACTAAGACAAATCAATTGGTGCTTTGATATTGAGACATACGAACAAAAAATCGGAGATTTTCAATTGATTTGCATTAAATTTACAATAGAAATAAAAACACTACTAGGTATTTATATAATTATGATATTCAATGGATTGTTGCTGGCGTACATTTATGAAGCTCCGTGAAACATTCATTAAAACAAGTGCGGCTTTGGTTTTTCTGTGATGCCATAATCTCTAGTAAAATGTGGCTGACGGTGAACGAGAATTCACAGTAAAGTCTTTGTATTGAGAAAACACCGAAATCTGAAATGAAGAGATTTGAGAGAGAGAGAGAGAGAGAAATTATTATAAAATCAAGATTTTAATTATATCAGAGTAATCTTGGCTGATATCAAATTTTGCATCCGGTAGGGAACAAAGCAAGTGAACGTGAAGAATAGTTTAAAAAAAATGACAAATTACATCATCAAATTTCAAATAAAAAACACCTACCTTATCTTTCAGCTGTTGGCAGAGCTGCAGTGCAACAGTGAGAAAAACTAAAACTTCATTAACCCATGGAACCGAGCACTCCGCTTGGAAAGAATCAAATTTCATCGTACCCTGTACGTTGGTCAGTTGGTACACGGCAAATATTAACTTATGGCTTTGCAAATAAAAACTGATTGCTAAATCGTCTGGTAAATTGGGTACCAAGGATTTCTGGGTGACAAATGGAAAAAAATGACAACCGGTTAAAAAAAAAATTGGTTCAATTTGATTTTCATTCAATTAATTTTGATTAAACTCACCATATTTCTACTTTTCATAAGCTCGTCAATGGGTTTCTTTTTCGGAATGACAAGACTGGTTCTGGCCCGTTGCAACGCTTCTAAAATATTGCTTATAATATGTAGCACTTCATCCGAAGACCTGGTAATAAATCAAAATATGCGTCAATTGGGCGCCGAGAAATTGATTGAAATAGTTTCTTGTTTTTATGTCTAACATACTTAAAATGATAGGCGCTGTCGACGTCATCAATGTGATGAATTGCCTCTTGCAGATGATTGGCGGCATCTTGAATCTGCTGCAATTTCCACGGTGATTCCGGATTGATAGCCGTTCGCTGTGACACATTTGGCGTTCGTTTAAAGCTGATGTCCTGCAATGATAAATTACCAATTGAAACCAAATGAAGGGCAATTCAATGAAGAAACAATAGAAAATGAAATTACTGCTTGCGATATGCTATCACCCGTCAGCGTGACAACGCATTTTAATTGATCTTGTGGAATTGTCAGTATGAATTTGTCTTGTTTGCCACCTTCGTTGCCATATAGTGACACCGGGAATCGGTGTGCACATTCCTGGTATTGAACAGAACGAAATCGCTGATTAGTTACAAACGATCAAGTTAAAAAAAAGAGAGCAGAAGATGCAGCAAATCGATTTGAATTATAAAAAATGTATTACCACAAGCAGTGAATGGAGATTCCTGAGAACCGAATGAACCTCGACATGTAGGACCCATTCGAACTCTATTTGCTGCAAAAGACAAAAACGATCATTCAATCAACTGGTGCGCTAAATTATTTGCAGTACATTTTACTGGGGAAAAATTGCATTCAAACATTGATTCAAAGAAATTTCATCTTTTTGGGGTCGAGAGGATTGAACCCTGAGATATTTTTACAGTGTGTTTCCAGACAAGCATTTTTCGAATTAATTTTGTATTGAAGCCAAAAAACATTCCATTCAAAATGAATTGTCAAATGACAATAGTTTTTTTTGCATAATCTTCTATTGATAATGTTTTGTTTGTCCTTCATCAATAAACGAACGAATAAAAGAGCCCGCATTCCCAGTGCAAATGCAAATGACAGCAAACATTTACGTAAAATTCAATGCATGCATACACCTTCAAATTGGCCGTAAATTTTGTGTTTCTGGGAAAACGATTCGAGCATTAGTCATTTCGTTTAGTCAATATTTAACGCGTTTTATCAATTCCTCGGCATTCATTTAGAAAAACATAAAGCATACAGGTCGTGACATAAACACAAATAATTTTTTTTTTCTCCCTTGGCTGTATTGTCAACACAAAACGATTGTCATTGCGGTGCATGCGCATTTACGGGCCTGTGTTGTTCCGCACTGTATAAATGCAAACACAAATACATTCGCACACACATGATACGGTATGCACAGCGCACGTATTTGTCTGAACGTCACACACTGTACACAGTATCACTCTCTCGCAAAGAGTGTAAATACGAACAAATTTGTATCGAAAAAAATTTTGCTACTAAATGACCGTCACTCAAATTCCATGGGATAGTTTAAATATTATGTGTTTATCTACAATCACACAAACTGCAGCCATTTCGATGAATCACATTGAATGCAATCAATGGAAAACACTGCGAAAATTATGAAAACAGTTCGAACTTACGAGGTTTTTTGCCTCCTCTATTTCACTGTCAGCCATTTTTTGGTTTGCCCAAATACCAATCATCTGTTCAATGTAGGGCTGTCACCACATTACGTCAGTGGTGGATTTTTCTTTCTGGGTGGTGAAGACAAACCGTTTAAACGGTTTCAAAACACAAATGTACCGATAACTATAAAACTGCCAATTTTCCGTTTGCAATTACACGTTTGGTCGTCGTCGTTTTTACACCGATTTTATGACTTAAACTTTAACTCATTTCAATGTTACCACTTAAATTATTCCGAATCGATACGTTTCAAGTTCAATGAATAACTCGGAATGAATGAAAATGAATAGAAATCATATGTACAGCACATAGAAAACCAAAATGACGGGTACGAATCGCAGCAATCGTGCTGTTCAGTTGTCAAGTATTCATCAAATACTGATCATTATGATATCTACCATAATTCGAATAAGTGATATTTATGGTTGTGTCGAACACATGTGTGCGAGCTCAATGGAATGACTAATCGATTTCATTTCACAGCGCGTACTGAGTACAAATCCAGTAGCATTACTTCTCGTATGCCAACATATTGAACGTATTTGCAATCGTTCACACTCTTTGTTCGCTCTTCGCTTGTGTATGCAATTGCTGTAACCGCGTTCACTGGCAAATGTTTCGGTTTTTTCCCCTTTCAATTTTGTTTTTGCCTTTTTATTCGTTGATTCGTCCGAGTTTCGTACGAAATTTCATGAGCGTCTAGAAAGAGCAAATTATCGTGTGACTGTATGTATATATTTGAATATTGTGACGTCTTTCACCGAATATTTGGATTTAACACGCCGGATAATTTCAAAATTCAATATTTACGCGATTAAAAAGGCCACGCGAGCAAACACAAGCACGCACATAAATACACACACGAAGCGAGAGAGAGAGAGGGAGAGAGAGAGAGAAAACGGGGCCGACACAATTTGTGTCAACGAATCGAGAAATATGCTTTAAAACAGTCTCTGTCATCACATCGGTAATATTTCATTTTTGTTGAGTTTCGCTTGTCGGAAATTGATGAGACGAATAATAAACGTTTCGTTTGATCATTGTGCACAGAGAGAGAGAGAGCAATTCAACGGTATATTTGATCAACGATTCGAGTCGCATACAGATCGTTTGTCACGCTCAATTGATGAGTATTGAATTGACGCCAAATAATTCATTTAATGAGCATTAATTTAATTGCAAGACTAGCAAACTGAGCAGACGAACGAGACGAAACGAAAAACATCGCAATCGGAATAATTAAAAGTTGGACCAACATTGACCCACCAAATTGGACTGTGTTTTATATAGCTGCGGTGGTCGACTATAATTTTAAACTTTCCTACGCCAATTCGGTGCAAACTCATTTCAATGATTTCATTAAAACGCATTACGACTACACAATAAAATTTATGATTACTTACGTTTCCTCCCAATAATTTCCACTTATTATTGTTGTTTTGATTGCAAAATGATGATGTAAATTGGCGCTGTGTTTACATTGTAAAAACGGCCCATTGTTTGGTGTTGTTGTTGCTTTGTTTGTTCTACACGTGTCTGGTTATTGATTTTTGTTCTGATGCTTTTAAAAGTGACACAATTTTGTTTTTGTCTTTGTTCGTTTCCACTTCTTATTTTCTCTCGTTTCGCTGAGCGAGAGAGAGTGAGCGGTTTCAATTCACATTTTGATTGATTGTACTACTGAGCCCGGATTGAATGCATTTAAATCCCATCTTCATGTACCAGTATAATTTACAGTTTTTCTCGTGCATTTTCAAGTGCCTTTTGCGCGGTCGGTGAACATTGATCGAGGTCATAGCAATTGATTTCATTTGCAGCAATTTTATTCAGAAAAAAAAACCAAACTATAAGCGAATTCATTCAAATAGAAAAAGTTGCTGGAAATTGACAATTTGTATGTGCGAATTTATGGGCTCATCAGCATAATATGGGGAAAATTTACATACTTTTGCTCTTCGAACGGAATCCAGTTGGTGTAAAATTCGGAAAAAATGTGAGAAAATTCATTATGTAAATATGCCCGCTATGAGTGTGTGTACACCACTGAATTTGCACCAATTGGATAAAATATTGCAATGCAATTTTACGTAATTATGTACGAGTTTTGCGATTGCAGAATTGTGCGATGTGCACGCTTGCAAGATAAAATGTGACATACATTGAGCGACATTTTATATTGGTGCCCCAGCCATGGGGTAGAGAATTCTAATCAGCGAAAGAGAGAAGGAAAGTTAGAATTGTGCATTAAAACTGGTGAACTAATTTAAATTCAATGTGCGGATCGAAAAGCACATGCGAGATTCATCTCGTACCCAAGCAATGTAGATTACATACTGAACATGTGACTTACATTTAACACTTTGGCATTTTATCAAGAGCGAAGCGCGAGTGCGCGGGTGAGTGAGCAAGTGGCAAGTGAGCGAGCGAGCGAAAAAAAAGTATTCGGATGTTATAAACATTCACATTGATTGTTGTGTGTTGTAAAGTATATTGGTGGATATGGATGGATGGAGTAGTAGAAAACGAGTGAGTAAGCGAGAAAGAAAGAGAACTCAAGAGTGAGAGCCATTTACTTTGGGTCTTCGTTGATTTGGTGACCTAGTAAGTGCATTTTTTGTTGTTGTTGTTGCCGTTGTATTCACACTCTTACTCACTCTCCACACCAGCGCTGTGCCAGTATCAATTAAATGTTCGAAATGTAGAACGATAATGCTCCGTTGAAGGTCAAAGCAATTGGTTCGAGCTTCTTCATGATCAAACAAATGGATAAACGGTTTTTCGTATAATGTCGGGCTTCCGATGCCAATTGTCAAAATTCTTTTATGGAAGTTTTTCCACCCTCACATCAACAAACTTTATGGCTAAACAAACCTAAATAAGAACATTAACAAAATGCGCATTTAAATTTGATGGTTGTGCAAAATTTTATCGAAACAAAAACGTGTTGCTTTTGTTACGACACACACTCCCTACAAACATCACAACAATGTTAATTGTAATTCCACATAAGAACATTCTAATTGAATTTCACATCTTAGATCATGCAAAACGTAATTTATAGAGAGAGTCACACCAATTGTCTTTCCATTTCAGGTAAGTCTTTTGTGAGAAGCCATGAACATAAATCAGCAGCAGCAGCAGCAGCATTATTGAAAACAAATTTTCGGATAATATAATATGCTGGAGAACCGTTCTGTTCCCATAGCTTGAGTTGAGTCAGTTTTGGCCTTGTCATTCTATGCAACAAAGGTCTTATTTTTTTGTTTTATTTCTGTTGTTCTTCGCTTACGACATTTCAAATTCTCAATGTTCAAATCATTTGAGAAATAGAGAGAACAGAACAAAAAAAATGAAATTCAACATATGCACACCGGTCAAAGTGTGGTGGTCAGTAAAGTAAAACCAGCTGCAATGCATGCTGTTGCGATTCGATACGAACAACTTTTAATAGTCGTCCACAAAATCGATTGCAATGACACCCAATAAACTAGATTCGATTGTAGCACACCGTGATTTCAAGTGTGGCTAATAATTAGAAAGAAAAAAAATACACAAACACACACACACACACACACAGAAAGAGAGAGAGAGAGAGAGCGAGAGAGCGAGAGAGAAAGGGCAAACAAACATTGAAATATCGTTCCACACTGAATGGGTGTTTGTGATAGTGTCAGGCCAAAATGTAATCAGACACGATCGAATGGGAGCGAATTTTTTCAATATTGTTTTTGTGTATGCGATAATTATTCGTTTGCTTTCCTCCATCAATAACACACCATCACCAGCAACGCCATGTGGATTTGCATAGCGACAACCGACATAGATTCAATTAGGAAAAAGAAAATAAAAACTAAAACCTATGACCTATTAACAAAATATATATTATCCACACATTAGCCTAAAAAAGCACGAGGAGCAAACGAGCAAAAATAAACGTAATTTTCTGAAGAACGCAAATGAAATTGAATTATGAAGGTTATTAAGTTTCTCTCGTTTGATTTTCGACACATATTAGCTCATCCGTGTAGGTGCTTCCAATGTGCGCTTCCGAGAAACAGACACACTACCGAAACATGTCGACGACAAACTCAAAAGATGCGATTTGACATACCTTTAGGCGTTACAAAGTCACAAAGCGGAAAAATTCATTAAACTTTCTACAGTGAACGAAATTTTTTTTTTCTTCGAAAATCTGCCTCCATCATATAACGGCATAGATGCGCTCGTATTGGGTGTGCTCGGCACGTCGCAAAAACATCTGTGAAGCATATCCATCCTTCTGCTGATTTTGACATCAGGCAAAATGCTTGTCTGACGTCCAGCCCATTTTATAACCGCACTTGTATCGCAGCAAGTTTTCCCCATTGCCAGACGGCTTTCTATCGTATTGCGACAACATCAGATTTTGAGGTATCGAATCGCTTAACAGTTTTAATGCCAGCTATCATTGAACGATTAGCACAGTAATGAATAGAAATGGTATTTGGGCTGCACCATGTATGGATGGTGCCAATAATGAATATTTAAATGCAATGAAATTGATCGGAAGGTCATTTGAGAACTAAAATTGCAACGCATCGAAATCCCCATTGGCAAATCGATGACACTTCGATATTGAGTCACAAAATCAAAAGTTAAAGCATCTGCTCTAGAAAATTGGCTAGCACGTGTGCAGACACGTTTTTCACAGAAATTTACGTGAGGGAAAGCGCATACAAACCCACACAAACACACATATGCACACACACAGTCCAATACACCAAAAACACAACAAATTTTAACTGTTGATTCAGCTATTCAACGCGTTGGCATGAATGCAGAGGAGAGAAGATAAATTTACCACAAAACTACGCAGATAAGAAAATTGAGTGAATCTATTATTTAGCACTTACTTTGATATGAAAAGACTTTTGCACACCGAAACGAGACAGCGAAGAATAAAAATATGTGGGATTTTTCGTTGCATTCATTTCATTTCGGATGCTTACAACTCGAGCGTCGAGTGAGCAACGCATGTATATACATTAGAGTGCTATGTAATGTAAAACATAAATGAAAATGCTTGAAGAATGTAGTATTTTCAACAAGTATTGAAATTCAAATATGGTTAGGGAGATGTAGGTTATGGGAAAAAGTTATGTTGCAAACACACACAAACACACACACTCTGAATTCACTCGGAAAGCGTGGTACTTCCGCACATTGAATTTCAAAAGTGGTTTTTCTTTTTGTTCTACCAACTTCCACACAAATATTCACAACCATTTACTCTCTGTCCCTCTATCTCTACCTCTATCTCGCTCTCTTCTTATGTTTTTTTGTGTTTTCTTTTCATCGGCTCTGTCCTCCTCCTAACTCCCTTTTTCTCGGTAAATATGCGAAAGAGCATCATCTGAATACGGAATTTCTATTGAACAAGCGCTTGATTTTCCGTTTTCTAAATACAATGTACAGCTGCTTCAACTACCCAGCTTGCCCCATATGAATACTTAAACACAGCGAGCAAAGCAAACAATTAAATATTCATCTTCTGCTAGTTTTACATTTCCACTCGTTCTCGCCCTTGTTCTAAACGCTCGTACCGAACAATTAACGTTAAATTATGTGCCGAAAATGAAGGAAGCGGCATTGGCGGCAGCAGCAGCAGTGGCCGGGTAGATACAACAAGCGGTCTAAGTCGGTAGTATCAAACGAAAGGAGCAGAAAAATATGAAATGTAATGGGCAAGTGTTGGCATGCATGAAAATGAATTGCAGCGGATCTCTCAGATTTCGACAACATTTTTTTCGCACATCATGCTTTTGAGAATGGTTTCAAGTGTATGATTACGATGATTAAGACGAGAAATTGAAATAATGTGCACGCTATGTAGCGATAAAACATAGCAGCAGCAGCAGCAACAACAACAGGCACGAAGAACAATAACACAAATCCACAGTTCACAAACAAACTGCGAGATGGGAATGATGGAGGGAAAGCACAGGCTGAAAAAAGGCCAATGCTCACAAAGACCGAGCGGAAAATGAAACATCCAACGGGAACTAAGGCAACATACAATCGAGTCGTGCAAACACACGGTTCCATCGTTCGAATGAAATTTCACTTGTGCGCATATGCTGCTGCCAAAGCACTCACTTACACTCCATCACACACAGACAACGCAACACATTCACATCACACAGCTAACCAAAAAAAGCAAAAAAGCTACACCAACATTGTAGAACACATGTTTTCGCCGTCGTTCCATTCGTATTGCTTGGAGCTTAGGTTCGGTCGTATATGTACGTACGTTCGTCGTAACCATTCAATTTTCCAAACAACCCCAACAATGTGAGTCGATTTTTGTGCATCAACATCGTACCACGTTTTCGCTGTGGTTGAAGCGATAGAGAGAGAAAGCAACAGCAAAAAAAAATGTGTGTTCAGTGTGGAACGCGCGCGTTGTCACACAGTCAAAGGCAGCGCTTTCGTGAAAACTAACTATTTCGTTTTGAGCACGCCAACCAAAAGCGAATTGACTTGGACAAAAGGATCAGTTCTTTCAACAGCAGCGGTTCTAGTAGTAAAAACATTTTTTTTCTGTTTGTTTCACTCCCGATTTCAATACATTTCGCTGCTACAGTTCACCAAATGAACAGTTGTGCGTCTTTTAGTTTAGAAAAATGTGAATGTGAATGTGTTTTTCATTTGATAAAAGTGAACGAAAAAGGAAAAAGGAAAAAAATAGAAGAGAAAAAACGAAGAAAATATTATCCAAAAATTTTTATTAACAAAAAACACAGAAAGCTTAAAATATTTCAAACAAAAGAGAGGATAACACGCAAAAAAATCCCTGTATAAATGTTCTAAATCGTTCGTGTGTATGTGCTGTACATTGTATTTATTTCATTTTGTCATATGTATAAGAAATGTGTGTGTGCTCCCAAGTCGTTTTCGACATATCAGTGTTTTCATTTAGCTTAGACGTTCAACGCCTATAATCGCTTTCGTTGTTGGTTCGATCATAATTTTGTTTTCATTTTCATTCACGGTGTAGGGGCCCACTCAGTAGTTATTTAATCGTCAATCGAATCGCAATTTTACTCTCGCCCACTGCACATATTATATGGTATTTAACAGTTTCGAGTGTTTTTAAATAATCATCAAGAATTCATTGGTCAATGAATTGTAAACCATATAAATTTTATTTTGGTTCTCTTTCCCCGTTTTCTCTCTCTCTCTCTCATGCTCTCGTGCTCGCTTTCCTGCTTTGTCAGAGTTCAATGAACATTTCGTGGTTTTAATTGAATGTTTTTTTTATTGAGGGAGAGAAAATGGGAGCTTTTCATTTCGGTGTGTTTACATGCCATTTCAAACAATTGGCAAAACGAACACAACAGAATAGTGATTTGAATCGTTTTCCATAATTTCCTGTGATAATTCGATATTTTGTTTGGCTCAATACAGTGTGTAGAGCCCAGGACAAAGAGACAGGACGAAAGAAACGTAAGTGTATGTATACGTGTGTGTGTTTGTGTCGGAGAGTCGGAGAGACGAAGAGACGAGAAATTGCATGGAGCGCTTTCTTTAGTGACAAACGGCACAGCTTTAGGATAATGAATGGCATTTTCTTGGTGGACAAAGAATTTTTCAATTATTTACGTTGAAACCATACACAGCAAGAGGGTCGTATTTCGTACGTCCCATTGTTTGCGATGTGATGTGATGTGATGTGAATATATATATATTCTTTTCGTTTCACTTCACAACCAAATCGAAAGTACCTTTTTGCTGTTGTTGTTATTGTCAATAGACATTCCGCAAAGTTTTTAGCGTTTTGTCGTGTATATATATATACCTTAATGTGGACAAATTCTTCAATACGAAAATTTTTGATTTTCATGCCATGCTCAATGATGCATAAATATGATTTATTTGTGTTTGTGACATATATCTATTATGGTATACTATGTAAATAAATTATGTTTGTTTCTTTTGATTCTTGTTTTGTCATCATTGTTGCTGTCGTTTGGTTGTTTTCGTGGTTGTCATTGTTGTTATTACAACGTTGACCCATATTTAAACACATTCACTCACTCTTTTTCTCGTGTACAGCACGAAGCAAAAATGCAATGGGAAACCATGCCAATTTCAGACAAATACGAATTATACTTTTTTCAAAAATCCATTAGAGTGTAAAATAGTGCAGTGCTCCATGAGCTAAGCGTAGTGGCCTAAGTGGTGTGTAAAATATAAATGAGCATTATTATATAATAAGTGACAAGCACGGGTTTCATAACAAACTATGAAATGGATGACGTGCAACTTACAAGTCGCATCCGCTTTACTATGTCTCTTTCTCTGTGTGTGCTGTCAAACTCTCAGCCATTCACTATATGTTTATATTGACCGATTAGAAAAAAGTTAAACAAAAACCTGAGTGTTTTATATGTTTCCGATATCACTTCGTGTATCAATACACGGATCGGTAAAAGGTTAAATTGATGTTTACCCAAAACCGGATGTACTTTTCAAATGTAATCAATTCAATGTATCTGCTGCAAAAATGGCGTGCACGCGCTAAGCTCTACCATCACAGCGTACACAACAAACTTTTACGAAACAAAATTATGTAGTTTAATCCATACAGCTTAATTATTGGAATGAAATGAGATAGTAAATAGAGAAAGGATAAAAGGAAGAGTGGGAGAGAGAGCGAGAGCGAGAGTGAAACGAATATGGATTGCATTAATTTGAGCTAAACATGGAAAAAAGTGTAATACAAAAATAATACATCATTAATGCGCATAAATATGCAGACTGGCAAACGAACGAACGAATGAGCAAACCACGACGACGACGATTGAAGGAAATGCAAACGTGACTAAGAAAACTGTCGGATACACAGACGTACACTATTTTGTATGTACGTCCAGTCCATAGCACATGAAGTACAAAGATACAACTTTGTAGAAGCGAACACCCTGGGTGGAATACACACACACACATTTCATAGGCCATAGTTTTTGTTTTTTAATGGCGCGCGCGAGAGGAAGAAGAAGACGATGACGACTACGAAACGAAATGTAGTGAAAGAATAAGAAAAAAATTACCAGCAGCAACCTGCAAAATGGAAAGAAAAATGAACGAAAATCGAAAATTCCATTGATATTCGTGAGCAACGACAAAATAAGCGCGCGGAGCCCAAAACCACAACTAGCATAGTACTGCCATTACTTACGTAATTTTATCGCACGCTCGTATTTCTTTGCTCTGTGTGCTTTTTTGCCCATTTTTCACATGCAATTTTAGAGGATTTGCACACGCCATTGCCAATATGAAGTTATATGCGAACAACCAACCATCCAAGTCAGTTATGATGTTGAAACAAACGCTAAAATCGCAAGCCATGTGGTCGCCGTCGATAATGCCGTCTCATTCTCTGATTCCGCTATTACACCATCATGCATTAGTTGCGAGAAATGTTTTTTTCTCTGTTTCGACAGTTCATATATATATATATATATATGGGTTGTTTGTTATTGGTTGCTTTTGCCATTTCGTGTGTTCTCTTCTATACCACAGCAATGCGTATTTCGAATAAATCGCTTTGCCACGAGCAAGCTCATTATATGTACTTTTTCCCCTTGTCCCGTTACAACGAATCACGCATCGGTCGGGTTTACCTTCAATTTTTAACATGGCATCGGTCATCTCAAAAATGTTTGGTGGAAATTCCCATTCCACTACCCAAAAACAGAAAGAATAAAATAAAACAAATCCCTAAACACATCGCGCTTTACATCGATCCAATATAATGTATCCGAAAGGACAGCATATTTCGCACGTTAACCGCCAACTAACGAATTTCCCAAACATTCCAAAATTGTATACATTTTTGGATGGCAGACTTCGTCGTCGTCGTCGTCGAGGTGGAGCTTCATAAGCCATCGTACGTGTATTTATCGTGCAAGTAAGTAGCTGGGTGGATAAAGTGCGATTTCCCAGCCAAGGTAAAATTAATTTCGGAATTTCAGAGTTGAGTTGAGCGAAATCAACAACGAAAATCATATTATGCCGACAAGCGCGCCCCGATTTGATGGCGGTACATGGCAGATTTTTGAACACATTGGAAAATATTGAACATAAATGATTTATGGCAGATGGCAAAATTCACAATTTTCCACTGCCATCCGCCAATCCTGCACATGGAAAAAACAAAACGGTGACATATTGCTGTGGTGCGTTCAATGAAACAATTCATTTTTGATTTTCAATTCAATTGATCAATTTAGAAGCAGTTTTTTATATCGAATTCTATACGCGAAACGAGCAAGCGAGCGAATGGCGGTGCTTGTGACTATACACGATAGAGCAAAGAAGGAAGAAATAAAAGAAATGAACGCCAAATACAAATTCAAATGTATTCACACACATACTCGACGTATGTATTATTTACTGATTATCATTTCCATTTTTTATTTCGTATAAATTCTAGGGTGTTCGTTCAATGACTCCGATTGCGCTCGCCCGACCAGAGTCGTGTGTGTGTGTGTGTGTGTGGAAACGAATGAAAATCGAGCGATAGCACTTTGCACGAAATTGCCTGATATGTGAAACGCACCTAATGGAGCGCAAATTCTTTTCGATTTCAAAAATTTATGCTGCATGAAAATGTGTAAATGAAAAGAGAGGCAAAAGCGTGTGGCGTAGCGGCGGGAAACGTATGCGCCGATACATTGAAATGCCAATTCGAGTTAAGTGTATATGAGAGTATCGATATGAGCGCATACGAAATGCTGGTCATGCTAACGCCATCGTCAAAAGAAGCTTTTCGCGCTAATTCCACAGAAATGAGATGAAAAGCAATTGCCATGGGGAAAAAATATATATAAATTGAGTAAAAATGCGAATAAATTGCTTTGTCGTGTCATAAATGGAACTGAAATTATCGAGGATGTATCGAAATTCGATTTTTCCGGCTTCAACAATGCTTCTATTTTCCTAACAAGAACGTGTCATGTTCAAGCCACTCACTCTCTCTCTCTCTCTCTCTCTCTCTCTCTCTCTCTCTCTCTCTCTC